CCGCTGGCCGATGAGCTTGTCCGCTGGCCGATGAGCTTGTCCGCTGGCTGATGAGCTTGTCCGCTGGCTGATGAGCTTGTCCGCTGGCCGATGAGCTTGTCCGCTGGCCGATGAGCTTGTCCGCTGGCCGATGAGCTTGTCCGCTGGCTGATGAGCTTGTCCGCTGGCTGATGAGCTTGTCCGCTGGCTGATGAGCTTGTCCGCTGGCTGATGAGCTTGTCCGCTGGCTGATGAGCTTGTCCGCTGGCTGATGAGCTTGTCCGCTGGCTGATGAGCTTGTCCGCTGGCTGATGAGCTTGTCCGCTGGCTGATGAGCTTGTCCGCTGGCTGATGAGCTTGTCCGCTGGCTGATGAGCTTGTCCGCTGGCTGATGAGCTTGTCCGCTGGCTGATGAGCTTGTCCGCTGGCTGATGAGCTTGTCCGCTGGCTGATGAGCTTGTCCGCTGGCTGATGAGCTTGTCCGCTGGCTGATGAGCTTGTCCGCTGGCTGATGAGCTTGTCCGCTGGCTGATGAGCTTGTCCGCTGGCTGATGAGCTTGTCCGCTGGCCGATGAGCTTGTCCGCTGGCTGATGAGCTTGTCCGCTGGCTGATGAGCTTGTCCGCTGGCCGATGAGCTGAATTCAATGCTCATGGGCTGCTCTTTTTATGACAAAATCTCTGCCCTTGGCTCCTCCTCCTTACGAGGGCGGGGCTCCCTTTGATCTAGCTGTGTGTCGTGGGGTTGGGGTGTGTGTGTCTGTATGTGTGTGCTTGTGTGTGTGTCATTTATGGCATAGTTCCGTTCGTGGCTTCCTTGAGCCATAAACCATCAAAATGAACCAGATGCCTCAAAATCGTCCCAAAGGCGTCCCTCTGTCTGCGTTATACAATCTGGAGGGAGGGGCGATTCCCCCCCCCCCCCCCCCCGTATGACATTTTCCGACGCACAAAGGATTTTAAGGTTTTTTAAAGTTAACATTTATTCCATCATAGTTTTTGGTACCGTACCACTGGCAGTTAGGATTTTGTCTGTGACTCCCAGTATCTGTTTTTTTTTTCACGAGGATATGATGCTCTTTTGAGCGTATGCATATTCTTATCACGTGCTGCGGGAAGACAAGGACGGCCGGGAGGCTCTCTCTTTCCCTGGCCCTTGGTTTAACATCGCTCAAATATCATTTGGTTTTATGTTCAACAAGGTTGTGATTCACCCCGTTATCCTGGCCCTTCCTCAGTTTTTATTAATTTCGTCATTCCGTGTGTATGCTTATCATTTATATTATTTTATTTCCGATATCCTGGGTTAAGAGGTATGCTTCTTGACCCTGGGAATTCGTATTCCTTGGTGTTTGGAAGGTTATATAAACGGAATATAGTTTACAGTGAATAACGTTAACATTAAAGTATGAAACTATGTATTGTGACCGGGCTTCGCTGTTAATTACTTGTCCGCCCGCGGTAGTGGGGTGGGGTCCCATTATGAAGTCCCGCGCGTCGGGTGTGCAGATGGTCTGCACGATAATAATTCCCTTGCTCCGGTGTGAAATTCCTTTCTCTCCCGCGCTGCAGGAAGACAAAGACGGCCGGGAGTCTCTCTCTCTCGCTGCTCGGTTTAACCCTCATCATTATCATTTTTGGTTTATGTTTCCCATGATTATTCCTATAATGTCAGCTTATTCTTGTTGTCATGTTTTCCTTGGACTTTCCGTTAACTAAAAATAATCGAATGCTGTCTGTCTGGTTTTTCGCCGTCCTGGACGCTGCTTGGCAAGAGAGATTCCTTTCCGCCCCCTTCCCCCTTTGATCTCGAAGGGTGTTATGGGTTGTGGTGTTTGTGTGTTATCTCATTAAGTCCCGCGTATCTGCTGCACAGATGGCCCTCGCGATAAAGTGTAATTCCTGCTCTCTCGCGCTGCGGGAAGACAAAGACGGTCGGGGTCTCTTGGAATATTGTTTAAACTCGTTTCGTAAGTTTGCCCGTTCGCCTCATTCCTTCTCGATAACCCTTGATGTGACTCTGTATTTTCTGTCCCCAAGATTTGTGATTTAACAGTAAAAGTATTAAAGGTGAAAATCATTTGGTATCGAATTACTAAATGGGTAATGATTCACTGATGTAGATTATGGCCCGGTTTTTTAATTGGAGTGGGTGTGAGGATCGATAATGTTGGTTTATTCTTGTTGAATTTTGAACTTTGTAACCGTTGTTTTAATAGCAAAATAAGGGGCAACTGTTTAACTCTTGGCATCACTCTGTCTAGGGTTTCCAAGATGGAGCCCTGGAATTTCTTGGAGTGTTCCCCCCCCCCCCGTCTCCTTTGATTTGGTTTATTACCTTTTATGGTCTATCTCCTGGCGCCCCGTTGTGTGTGTGTGGGGAGGACGACGGAATTTATTATTTTTTTAATGACCTTTTCACGACCTCCATCTGTGTTTGCTGAGAGTCTGGTTTGTGTGTCTTGATTCATTATTTCGGTTACTATAATAAAATATATATCGGCAAATATTATTATTGATATTAATTGTGGAAAAAGGGCCGTATACAACAGTAAGCAAATCACACAAAAAATACGTCAAATCGATCAAGTATATAAGTTCAAATTGCATCTAGCTATCCCTTCAGTGCAAGCTGATTCCCCCCCCACCACCCCGAACAATTGCGAGGGTAAGCATCGCGCTAATGTCGTCCACGTGCATCTAAACCACGGATTATTTTAATGAACTCGCAGCAAGCGCTTGCGTTTCTAAAAAAAAACAGAAATCCCGCGTATACGTTCACAACGCACTCGACAGTAAACGTGTGTCTGGCAATGCGCCTTCTTCATCGGCCAAATAATGGGTCGGGGCTGAATGGATGGTGTGCGTGTTCTGAAGAATATCGCTATTGTCCGAAAGTCATCGGCGGATGTGTTGACTTTGTTTCTTGAACTGTGCCAAATGCGGTACCGCCAAATTAATTACGCGCGCGGTTAATGCTGGAGGCGGGGGAGGGCCCGTGGCTTCTCCTTCTGTTTATGAACAAAAGCATAAATGTCATCTCATTAACATCTACGCATGTTGAACTTCTTTCGCGCCGTACGTAGCCAACCGTGCTAATCGGAGGTGCGGGGGAAGGACAACATATTAAACACACGCAAATCAACTATCCTGAACGAATGCGTTTGTAAATCTAGATTTAGAAGTGCCCAGCTTCCAGTGTCTTCCTAGTGTCGGAAGGAAGAGCGTTCCAGACGGCCGCGGAAGCGCATCTGAAAGCGCCGCGCGATGCGGTTGACCGCCCTTTGTTCGGTGGCAAGGGGGAAATAAGTAGTAATTTTGTAAAACTTTCTTTAAAACACGCTTTAATGAAATGTACCCTACTAGTAATGGAAGAACTCCACGACTCCAGGAAGTGGCCCCGAAGCTTGCCATAACGTAAGGGGCCCGTGGTCATTTACAGCCAACGTCAGTTGACCGCGGACAATTAGACCCAAGCCGAAACATAACATATAAAAAAGATTGTTTAAAAATATATTATGATAGAATATAGTATTGTCATCAGTATGACATAAGTATACCAAGTTTGCAGTCGATACCACATTGGGAAGTGGGTTAAAATTGAGTTACAAGATTTGAGGATACAACAACGACAACAACAGACAGAGTGAATTCATAGAAAGCGTGTAATAAAAATCATAAAAACAAACCCGCTGCAACGCGCGTAAACATTTCGAAACAGGAACCCACGATTCCGCTTTAAAAATTAATAAACAACGACGAACGTTCACTCAACTAATTGGCAGGGAGAATTGTTTGCGGCACTTGATTTTTTTAAAAGAATAAATAAATTCAAGTCGCAGCATGAAACGAGGTGCAATGCCGTTCGGTTGCGGCTCGTCCAGGTGTGCTGATGAGCCCCTATTTAGGATGAAACCTGTCCACAGTTTTGCCTCTCACTGCATCACTGCTGCTGCCAGTCGGTCACGTTGTGCTCGATTTAATGTTGCCGGCGATCGAACGGCCGTGGGGAAGATGCCGTCATGTAAAAATACAGCTTCTTGTTACAGATCTTGTAACAACGGTTCCCATGGAGTTTTTGTTACACGAATGTAAAACATGGGATTCTGGAAATACTGCGTGACCTTCCGCTTGATGGGCGTATGATGGGGCTTCTCAGTCGTCAGCATGTGGGTTTATACTGTGATGTCGAGTTCGTGGGAAATCGATGCAACATTCTTGGGCACGTTTGTGCGCGTGGTAAGCACAAGTTTAAACACTGATTTGAAGCTTTCGTCACTGCAGGAAAGCCACCTGATGACCGACGCTTGTGTTTCTCCCGAAACGTCGTGATTTATTTTATTTTGCACCTACGTGACTTAATACTATGCTGCATCGATGCAAGTTTTGCTGGCTGGAGAGCGCTGCACGATGCATCCGGCGACCCGAGTTCGATTTGCGCTCACGACCAATGACAGTGGCGAATATTTGAACCGGTCCTGGGCCTCCCCCTCGGTCGACTCAGCCTCAAATGAGTACCACGAGGGCAGGGGTCGGCAACCAAAATAAGAGCGAATTTTTTTCGAATTCTATATTAATTTTTTTACTCAGTATTTAAAGAGGCGCAGTGCACTGCGTGGTGAATACGAAACGGACTTGAACAAACGACGTCACGGGAGCAGCTCCTTAAAGAGCCGCCGCACGCGCCTCTGGAGCCGCAGGTTGCCGACCCCTGCACTAGGGAGACAAAGGCGGCCGGGCGTGGTGCTGGCCACACCAGCCCCTTGCGTGCCGTGCCACGGCCTTCATAGGCGCTACTTGCTAACGGCACTTGCCCCAACCGTCTGTTATGGCAACTCTACGGTTGTGAGAAGCACCCACGGGTATAATTCGGGCGCAAATCCATCAACTGAACGTGGTGGTTAGCTGTCCTCGAGTGCTACGTGACCTGAGTTCGACTTCCAGCCACGGCTAACGTCAGTCGCGAGTGTTACCTGAGCCAGGTGCGCCCCCCCCCCCCCTCCGTACTAACCAGCGTGGTGAAGTATGGTCAAGCAACTCACATATACGACCGACAGATCGATCGTGGGTAGACCTTGATCCAACGACGGATTGACAATAATGATGATGATGAAGGGATTACGCTTTTAGAGATTCTCAATAGTAAAGTGCCTTGTCTTGCTTTGCCTTGACTATGCAAATTCTTAACTATAAGTGCATCACAACAAATTTACATTCGCGCGTCCTTCACCCTTGATCGAACACAACCACGCAGTCACGTTTCACACTTTGGTCTCATGTGGGTATCGAAGCTCATTCTGCTGCCGCTCTCGAGGTCCCAGCTTCTCCTCCGTGTCGCACCACCGGCGCGGCCCATGCAGGCAGCAAAGGACCCCACACGGCGAGCACCTCTGCTGGGACCTCTCGGATGACCCCACCGGGCCATGCGCCTGGTGGCCGTCGGTGACGTGCGGCGCCTCGTTGTTCATGACATTCAACGTCCCCTTCTTAGTCGTCATCATCGTCTTCTTCTTCTTCATCATCATCATCTTCTTCTTCTGGAGCTCGTAGATTGTGGTGAAGTTGTTAGCGATCACGGGCACGGGCAGGGCAATGAGGAGCACCCCGGTCAATGCGCACATGGAGCCCACCAGCTTGCCGGGCAGGGTCACCGGGGTCATGTCCCCGTAGCCCACGGTGGTGAGCGTCACCACGGCCCACCAGAAGGCGTCGGGCACGCTGTTGAAGTGCGCCTCGTCCGCGCCCACCTCGGCGAAGTAGATAGCGCTCGCGAACAACACGACCGCGATGGCGACGAAGATGAGCAGGGTGACGATCTCTTGGAAGCTGGCGCGTAGCGTCTTCGCCAGCACCTGCAGGGCCTGGCTGTGGCGCGACAGCTTGAGAATGCGGCACACGCGCAGCAGCCGCATGGTCCTGAGCACGGCCAGGTTGCTCGCCTTGCTCTTCTCGCCGGTGGCCGACGAGCCGAGCTGGTCCATGGCCAGGGTGATGCCGTAGGGCAGGATGGAGATGAAGTCGACGATGTTCATGGGGTCGCGTGCGAACGCCAGCTTGTTCGGGCACGCGAAGGCGCGGATGAGGAGTTCCAGGCCGAACCAGGCGATGCACACGGTCTCCACCAGGAAAAGCGGGTCCGAGAAGGGGTCCATCCACTCGGAGCTCGGCTGCGAGTCCGCGGAGTCGTTGCGGCCGTGCTGGTGCCGCCGGTGGTGCCTGTTCCTGAACGTGGGCAGGGTCTCCGCGCAGAACGTGACCACGGACAGCAGCACCATGACCAAGGAGAAGACGGCCGTGGCCTTGGCGGACGTGGACGTGTCCGGGTGCTCGAATAGATTCCACAGGTAGCGGCGCACCTTCCCCGAAGGCAGCCGCTGCTGAGCCTCCTTTTTCGCCATCTTCCTCTCAGCCTTCAGCGTCGCCTCCTCCACCTCGTCGTCGTCCGCTAAGCCCTCCTCCTCCCTGAGCCTCTCCACGGCCTCGTCGCCCAGGTCGAAGAAGAGCACCTCGCCGACGAAGGTGAGCGGGGGCACGGCGCACGGCCGTCTCAGCTCTCCGCCCGACTGGTAGAAGTGGAGCACCGACTCGAAGCTTGAACGGTGGCGATCGAAGAAGAACTCGCCGAGGTCGGGCCTGTAGAACGGGGCGCGACGTGACGCGTCGCCCAGCAGGGTGCCGGGGTAGCGCTCGAGGGTACGCCGCTCCGTCTCGAAGCGCAGGCCCGACACGTTGACGACGATCCTCTCGCGGCGGCGGTCGCCGGCCAGGACACCGGACTCCTTTGTTGGCGGCGTGCCGTCCGTCGGGTCGGCCAAAGCTGGCCAATTCGTGGGCAGCAGTAGGTCCTTCTCGTCGAGCGAGAACAGTTCTCCTCGAACGGCGGGCATGTTCAAATTGCGACCACGAATGCAAACAAACAAACAAAAAGGCACGCGGACTGCTCAGTTCGGTTTGCGCTGGTCAACCTCGTGATCGCCCTTCAGAGTCGGCGGTCGTGCGGCGTTTCGCAGGGCGCCTGAGCAGTCCGCAATATGAGTCGAAAAAAACGTCTCGTTTGCGCAGCCCATCCAACCTGCTTGGCTTTTCACCGGGCGTGAGCTGTGAGTGAGGTGGCCCTGCAGGTGAGACCGAGGTGAAATGCGGAGGCATGTAGGCCACACCCAATCCGACCGCAGGAGACTTCTTTAAGTCGCGCGTCACATTAGCCCTGAGCAACGATCGCTGATCGCCTTCGAACATAACTTGTGCCATTTTTTGTCTTGCCACGTAAAGACGGACTTTGTTTTCCCTTTCGTTTGACTTGTGTGCACAGAACATACTCTTCAAAAAAATATAAAGAGCTTGAAAGACTTTAATTTTGATTTAAAGCTTTCGTGACTGCAGGGATTCATATTCTTGGTTCTTTCGGTAAAGTCATGTAGAAGGGACAACATTGATTTTTTTTTCATTTTATTGTTTCCCTTCTACGTGACCTTACCGAAAGAACCAAGAATAATTTGAAAGATGCCGCGAAAAATCATGACATCTGAAACACGCCCAACTTGGCAGTGAATAATTATACCTGCAAGATTTATCGAGACGAAATTCACTCACGGCACGTTATATCAGTGTCATCGGTGCTTCGTTTCTCATGGATCGTTTTTTTTATTTCCAGAGTTGAGCCCTGGACAGCTCCAGGGGAATAAATCCATTGACTTTAGAATGATACAGATCTCAAGTTTGGTCACTTGTCACATATCTGTGGGTGCACTGGAGTATGTGAAGTATAGAAATAGCTACAGTGTGTGTTTACCCGATCTGTATGAGAGACATTTAAAACATGTTGAGACTTCAGTGGCAGACACAGCTTAAGCTTATCACTCTGAACGTCATATTTACTGTATTGCCAAACGTAATTGTACAAATACATCGATGGCTAACACAGTATACTCTATATGCTACTCACTGACAACATGGGGCTTTTAAACACAAGGCGATTGTTTGCGAAGTGTGACCTCCGATTGGCACGGTTGGCTACTTACGGTGCGAAAGACGTTCAACATACATACATACAAACGCCGCGTTACCCCCCATGACGTTACTCCTCCCGCGTGGCATATCATGTAATGTATGTTGAACTTCTTTCACACTGTAATTCCCATGGAATGAATACAACGAGTCATCCGAGGACACGCTCACGCGTCCTCCCTTGCACATCCGTCCTGGCAATCCACTGCTGGGCGAGGGCCCTGCCACGCACGGCGTGTGGCCATGGGGGTCATTTGACCAGTCTTCACCCACAACGATCAGTGCAGCCTGTGTGAAGCACCTGTCACGCATGGTGTTCGCCCAATCCGAACGCAATCCAGTCTCAACAAGCCTGCTTAGCTTCGGAAACATGACCTGCTCAAGTGCATTCCGGGGCGTCTGGAGCGTTCAGACACGGCTGTTATTGGGTCGGTACGGCCACGAAATGTCCTGTTGCCATAATAACGACGTATACGTCTGTGCGATTCATTTTCCATTTAGGGGAGGGGAAATCAACCGGCAATCTGGGTCATCGACATCGATGGCCACGTGTTGTTTAATGGAACAAAAAATATATCACTATTACTGTATGGGTATATCTCGGGCGAATGAACGCGCTCCATGTCAGCGAGAGGCCGATGATTCAAACCCCATCACGTCATCTTGCCACAACAAAACATTCCGTTCCACCTAGCTGTCATCAGCTCATGCAAATGGGCCGGACCGAGCTGTAAAGTCCGCTAAAAACTCAAATTTGCCCGCGGCCCAATTCCTTATATTACACGCGATATTTCCCCGATGGATAAGTGGAGTAAATTCGCGGATACAACCATGGGTAATAGGATACGCAATATGCGTTCCCCATTTCAAAACGGAGAACAGGAGCTCCCATGTGTTGTGGTTTACACCGCTGCATGTATACATGTATGTTGAACTTTTTTCGCACGGTACGTAGCCAACCGTGCTAATCGGAGGTGTGGGGGGAAGGACAACAAACTAAACCCAAAGGGCAGTTCTAAAGAAATTCGTTATTATTCTAGATTTAAAAGTGCATCGCTCCAGTGGCTTCCTGATATCAGAAGAGCATTCCAGACGGCCGCGGAAGCGCCTCTGAAAGCTTGCGGTGCCGTGACCGTCTTTGTTCGATGGCTCGCCAAAAGCCGCTGCAGCGAGGATGACCGGAGTTCGCTTCATGATGGTTTATGCTCCTTGATGAGATCAGCAAGGTATTGTGGTTCATTTGTGCCAAACACTCTGTGTACAATCAGTGCGACCTCATAATGTATTCTCGTTCCGCTGTGCTGGATAGCTCTCCGATGTACCGTGTGTTGTTTGGCACGATGTCCGATGTTTCGTTCCACGTGCTGCACGGTGATCCAGTTCGTGTGTTGCTGGAAGGGCAAGGCGGCTCCGCCAATTTTTTTCTTATTTAAAAGCAGCTAAACGGTTGAATTGGAAGGGTGGAAGCTGCCCTTGAAACAATTCATGAATCACTTAGCTCACCCCCAATGACAGTTCTGAGTCACTGGATTAAATTCAGCATTCCGATGACAGAGACCAAATAAAGTGTTTCCATAGAACAAATAATTTTCCTTCTAACCTAGCGATACGACCTTACGAGGTTGTGCTTATTTTACCTTCCCCATAGATATTATGATTATTATGATGATGATGAGATCCTGCTACAGCTCACTCGAGATCACCAGCATTGCTTTGAGTAAGCCTGACGATGCTGATGGGACACTGAATGCTGAAAGCGGTCCAGAGTTTACTTGGGTTCTTGTGTTAGGCCAATGCTGCTGTAATAATTAACTCTAATAAAGGCCGCGAGGCCGATGAGATGCGTAAAATAATGCTGCTGTGTTTTGCGTGCAGCAAAGCCGTAGCCATGGAGTCAACATTGGGGGGGACCAAATCTTCCAGGGGGTCTGGGGGTCCCCCCCCAGAAAAAAATCTAAATTTGAAAACGAATTTCATGCCTAAAATATTTTTAAAAAATCACTAACACATAGGATGGACTTTTAATTTATTTTTTACAACAATGTCTAATAGTGTTATTGTATTACATTGCTCTGTTTTTTTCTTTTTTACTGTTTCTTGTTTCATTGTATGTAATGGCAGAGATTAGGGATTAATAAAGTACAACCATAACCACAATCATATAAACAGAAATCTATTTTTCGCAATATATTGGGGGGAACATTTTGAGCATATTTGAATATTGGGGGGGGGGGTGTGTGTCCCCCAAATATATATTATAATTACGGCCTTGGTGTGCAGACAAGGATATGGCAAGGAGGAATATTGTCAGCTTATTTATTTTCCTCCGAAGTTCACTCACTACCCATAATGGGACATTGATGCACAGATGTCATTCGTGTCGGCCAATATAACTGATACCAAAAAAAACTCCTTTCTTTTGCTAGACCCTGCAGGTGTTGCGGGTGTTGAGCACTGGTCCTTCAACACAGAGCGTCGTTGCAGGGACTCTAATTCACGAAATAAATATGCAGACAATTTGTCTCCGCATAATAAAACAAAGGGATTTTCTCTGCATCCCACCAAGCCACAGTGCCCTTCCGTAGTTGCGTAACCCCAGCAGCATTTGGTTCAAAACGAGAAAAGTCTGGACCAGTTTCGACATTCAGTGTCTTATCGGCAGAGCCAGGCTTGGCTGAACCAATGCGGATCAACGGCCAGACGTCACGGGCATGGAAACCCCCCTTCCCGAAGGCATGGGTCACCCAGTTCGGCGCGAAACTTTAATCGTACAGAACGCAACATATTCAGAGCACCGTTGTGGAGAAGAGAAGTGACAAGATGAATAAGTACAATCTCCGTATTCTTCATGTGTTCCTAATATGGGGGTTTTTGGGGGGTTAAATCGCGTACATAAAAAATGTGTCGTTAAACCCGCCACCACTCGACACAGCCAATTAGTAAGGTTTGCCACGTAAACATAACGTGCCAATTAGTTGCTAGTACAGCGCACCGATGTGTTGGAGACTTAATCCACAACATTTACGATCCGAGTACGACGTTTCCCCAGTAACTACAACCAGCTTCATCAGGCGACAGCCAGATTTGTGGAGAAATCCTCCACCACCGTTGCTTCAGGCAGGCCTGGCTCTTCTTGGTGTTTGGCCACGTGTCTGTACTTCTTCTCCTTGGTATACACATATTTTTTAATAGTTTTGGACAACTAGCGCACATATGTTTTGACACGTAGGCGTTCGCGACCAATATCATCCATAATATAGTTTTTTTTAGGTTAGATTGCGTAAATATAAATGTGTCGTTGAACCTGCCACCACCCGACACAGCCAATTAGTAAGGTTTGTCGTGTAAACAGAACATGCCATTGGAGAGCAAATCGACAAAATTTACAATCTAAGTAGTTAGATTGTAAATGTTTTGAATGTGCTCTCCAACACACGCGTGTGCTGTACCAGCAGTGAATTGGCATGTTCTGTTTATGTGACAAACGACACATTTATATATTTACGCGATCTAACAAAAAAAACCTATATTATTGCAAAACAATGTTATATATCCATGCTAAAGTGCTGCTGTATTATCTGTATTGTCCTACTGCGTCCATGCCAACGATGAGTTTTAATGAATGTATTCTTTAGTTGTGTCATCTTTGTACATTCACGTACAATTATATTCATCCAAACGATTTGGTTACCCCCGCCCCCACCCCGCAGTTTGACTCTGCGTCTTAGCTCTGGGCTTGTTTGCACTCTCAGTGAAGTCAAAAACTAGAATGCCACACCTGGCAACTGCCGCTTGGCACATCGTGTATTCACAATATGAAGGCAGAGTACATTTCGTTAATATATCTGTGGTATTTCTCTCACCGTCAAAGGGTGCACCGAGACACTGATTCATATGGATGCTTTAGCCTCACGACACATGCATCAACTCCAGTACGATTCCATGGTTCTTGAATTCAGAAAATTATATACATATGGAGTGGTTGCGCAGCGGTTTGCACTTTGTGCAATTAACCCACGAGTGGTGAACCTGGCGACCAGGGGGTGCAGCGGTGGTGAGATGTTAACTACCTCGCCCGGTATACAGGTCGTGGGTCCGATCCCGACCTTCACGCCTGCTGTATATTTGGGGTGTGTGTGTTCTCCCCGCGGTCGCGTGGATTTTTTTCCGGGTCCTCCGGTTTTTCCCTCCACATTTAGAAGCAACGTGCGTTTAGAGTATTTGGCGGCTATACATTTCCACATAAGCCACTTCGTTGAACTATCATTTGTGGCGAGGTCGCTTCTGAAAAAAATAGCTCTATAGCTCAGTGGGCCTTACCTGGTGATATCCGCATTGTTCTGAACACCTCAACTTCACCAACCCGCAAAGACCAGCATCGAGAAGTATGGTCAAACAACCACCATGATTGGAAGGCGGTGGATTGTGAAAATTATAAGGTAATATGTTTAGGCTAATTCGGCGAATAAAACCATTAAAAATATAAAAAATGGAAGCAAGATTGTAAATATGAGACGAAAAAGACAATTGATTCTTAAATCAATTTCCAGTCTAGACCAATTTGTCGAATCTCCATGGAGGGGATGAATGTTTACACCTGTAAGTGACTTACACATCTTAAATCATTATGGGCTATCTTTATTACCTCAAAATGGGAAACCTCACCATGCTAAACATGCTTCAAAAGGGAATAAAAACGTCACATTTTAGCACCAATAATAAAGTGTGGTTGCCACGGGCAAAACATGTTGACGAAGTCTCCATATAGGTTGGGACTAAACGACACCCGTAAAGTCAGAGAATAACATTTGTGCTCAGTTCATGGCGGAATATTGACCGATCACTGACAGGCTTCCCAGAAAAAACATATATAATCACATTCTGGGACTTTTTTCTAACTGGAGGGAACTCAATAGCCATGTAACAACAAAAACACATTATGCAGGTTGGACGTAAATGCAAATGTGTGCAAATATATGGCTGATACAGAACAACAGACATCCCAGAACCACCATTATGGTACACGACATGGTAACAAGCACCAACGCAAGCCTGCGTGCAGAATGCACGGGAAAGATGATTATGGTACGTGTTTGTTGAACTTCTTTCTCACCGTACGTAGACAACAGTGTTAATCGGAGGTGCAGGGAAAGGACAACAAACTAAGCATTTAAAATAAGTTCTAAAGAAATCAGCTTTCAATCTACACGATTTAAAAGTGCATAGCTCCAGTGGCTTCCTAATATCGGAGGGAAGGGCGTTTCAGATGGTTGCAGAAACACATCTCAAAGCGCGCGATGAAGTGATCGTCTTTGATCGATGGCCAGCCAGAAGCTTGAATGGAGGAAGCTTTTTGAGGACAGCATTATTTACGCTGGTATCTGTGATGTGCATGTCCCCAAATAACCGGAGGTGCGGGGAAGGACAAACCAAACACTACTACACATGTATCTACAAATAGAAACTCACAGAATGAATGTGTAAAAAATACACCAACAATATCATTGCATATTCAAGTGTGCATTTATTTTAAATACAATGTCACGCCATAAATTGTTCAAAATATATTAAGGAAATGAGCTTTTAGCATTATTGTGGGCTTGTATAAATAAAGACAAAAAGCAGGGTGTAATGCAGCAAAACAGTATACTCTGCTCTCACCTGTGGTGTTCAGGTTAAGATTCCAAATAGCGTAAGTTATTCTCCATGAACAAATGATCCAATTCCCCCAAAAAACACGTAATGTATAACTGTAAACTAACCAAGTTCAACTTTACCATGTTTTGCTCAAATATTTGGCCATTTGAAGAAGCAAAAATGCAACTATGAAAAAATCGGTTATTGACATGATATTCGTCATATATTTTTTTTTACATTTAACCAAGCCAGATGTCACGTTGCCCATGGGGCCAATTTTAAACCATAGTACACACCGTGCACCTTTTTGGCTTGTGGAACATTTTCAAGGTGTTAACGCGAAACAATTTCTGCCTGAGCATTAACGTACAAGTCACACCCAATTATTTTGATTATGCCTGTATCTATACATGTACCTTTTTGTCAAAGAACTTTAGGTGAATGGCGACAAAAAGAAGGTTGTGTTGTTAGGTAGCCAACACCATGCCATAAATCTTTCAATATCTTCACCTGTCCAACATTTTTTTTCACGAGTGCTCTCCAAAGATTCATAGAACGGAGCTGAGATTTTCGCACTCCCTTCAACGAGCAAGCTCTGCATTTACACAATTTAAGATGCGCCATGGAAATCGACACAAAGCCTTTTGACACGTCGCATCCACGTGTACCCCCCCCCACCCCCGCCCATCTAACACAGGAATGATGCGCAGCTTCCCACCGTGAACTTTAAGTACCCGCTTGCTCGGGTACAAAAAAAAAACCTCTATTTTTTTTTTAGAAATTCTTTAAGTCGGTTCAAATCAAACGGCGTAAAAACAAATATTGTGCCGGCAAATTCCAAGCTATTGCTGTAATTTTTTTTGTAAATTCAAGTAAACTCTACTCGGAGATAAATGTTTATGGTGCAATGGCTTTCCTTGCTTTTTTGTTTTACATTGCATTTTATGACAATCGCAGAAAATCAGCATACATATCCTCCTATTTACAAATTTATACATAAATGAAATACATATGAAACATATGCACTGGCTTGCAAAAATGCATGGCTGCTTGTACACAGTGTTTTCCGGAGTCCCAGGTGTTGCATGCGTCAACAACCGTCTCAGTAGAAGCACACCGTGTGAAGAAGGGGCTTTCCACACTTGTCTTCAAAATCTTGCAAGAGCTCATCGATGTCATTGTCCACGTCATCCGTGAGCTTGATCTGCGGATAAATAAAGTGTGCAGATATAAGCACTGTCCGAAAAGTTTGAGAACAACGATCGCACAGACGCCACTTCGGAATAAGTCAAATTGACACCGTATCTTTGCATGACCAGGCCTCCCGTGATTGGCCAAGACCCCTTTCCCTTATCATTGTCCACCTTTTGTTTTTTCCTAAATGCCCTTTGCGTGTCGGTATGTACACGTACTGCCTTTTGTCACTCTGCTGCAGGATGAGGGCCTCCCCACGCAGGATTGTGGGGATATTTCGTCACGCTAATCAGAGCAGGTTGGTGAAGGCGGGGAAGCATGGAAGCACAGTACAATTGATTTTTCTGGTTTCGGCGGCCCTCCACTACAAGCCCTATGACATCTTGTGTGCGCATGGCGGTCACCCATCCAAGCAGTATCCTCCAGGCCGCACCTCCGTTTAGATCTCGACCGCCTGATGAAAATGGGCGCATTCCGGGCGGGTTTTAGTCATTGGCTTTGCGGCAGTGCGGGTGCAGTGATCGGTGAAGCGGCCCCCCGCGCGCGTGTGTGTGTGTGTGCGTGCGTGCGTGCGTGCGTGCGTGTGTGTGCGTGTGTGCGTGTGCATGTGTGTGCGTGTGTGTGCGTGTGCGTGCGTGTGCGTGCGTGCGTGTGTGCATGTGTGTGCGTGTGTGTGCGTGTGTGTGCGTGCGTGTGTGTGTGTGCATGTGTGTGCATGCATGTGTGTGTGTGTGCATGTGTGTGCGTGTATGTGTGTGCGTGTATGTGTGTGCGTGCGTGTATGTGTGTGCGTGCGTGTGCGTGCGTGCGTGTGTGTGCGTGTGTGTGCGTGTGCGTGTGTGCACTCACACACTGGCACATCTCCAGGAGCAGGAAGGCGCCCAGTGTCGCATCCTCGTGGTTGTCCTGAATGTCCACGTTGATGACGTGCACAGGCTGCAAAGTCTCCTGTTCCCTTGAGTTCAGGTCTGATGGGGGGGGGGGGAATCAAGAGGCATCATTAATTAGACATGGAACTAAACCATCTTCTTTTGTAAGGCCTGATCAATTTCAGTATTTTTTTTAAACATTATGAAATATTTAAAAAAAACACAGGATATGCGTTATACCTGTCCTGCACCCCATTCCTCAAGTGCACGTTAACATTCATATTCTAAGAGAAAGAGTTTGATAACCATCATTGGGCTGACAAATTTTGTAAATTATGTTGGAGTGATGCAGAATGATTCCTTAACTATGTGTGGACAAATTTATTTAGCAATTTTTTTTTTACAATTGCCATGAAAATCAGGAAGCAGCATTGGCAAGAAATTTTGAAAAAAGTGGTGCTAACGATAAAAAAACCACCACTTTTTTCAAATTTTCTTGTTGTGGCTTTCACACCTGATGATGATTGCTTGTGTTGCAGTCGAAACGTCGTGAGAATTGTATTATTTTATATTATTATTTTATTGTTTCCCTTCTACGTGACTTTACCGAAAGAACCAAGAATATGAATCCCTGCAGTCACGAAAGCTTTAAATCAAAATTTGTGCTCGGAACATCGCGTGCCTTATTGCTCAGTGGTTTCATGCTTAGATGAGAGAAAGGTGGCAATTATTTTCCAGTTACCACCACCACTGAGCCAGTAGGGGAAATTCCACATTCCCATGGCCGAGACAAGGCTTATCTATACAACCACTGTTGACACACGGTATTGATGACCTATGTAGGACTTATGGCCACTGTTCTAGATGAACATGACCACAATAGGTGAACATTTCCAGCAGTCTATGGGTTTTGGAGAATGTCTTAACCGTCTTCCGTTTAATAAACATTTATAAGAATGCCAGTTAAGAACAGTTTTATCAAGAAAATTGCAGGTAAAATGTGGGGGACAAATATAATCTACACTTTTTGACATATGGTAGACAAACTGCGAAATGCAAAAAAAAGCATTTGCCAGTCCCCGACGAAGTCTACCGTTTTAAAAGTTAGAACCGCCCTGTTGACTGTCGCTCACCTTCCAACACCTGGTCATAGACGCGCTCCTCGCAGGTGAGGACGATGTCGAAGTGCTCGCGGCACGACTGGAAGCGTTCGGGCCGAGGCTTAAGCCGCCTGTTCCTCTCCAGCATGTGCAGGATGCCATTCTGCGTGTATCTGTGGTGCCTCTGGTTAAGGAAGCGGCTTTTGGTATTGGGAGCAATGCGTACAAAAATGCCACCTATTCAAGGGTGTACCCCCCCTAAAGGCCTCAATTTGTGCAAGGCCCAAGCTTTACACTGAATTTAAATGCACGCATCCATTCATACATACATACAATCATTCGGGGGAAAAAAGCTATTACGATTGCACAATAAAACATTGTCCCCAAATGTCAAGACAGTATCATGTTCCTGAAAACCAAAATAGATGAGATAAAAATTTGTTGGTATATTATAAAAGCCCGGCGTTCCGTTTGTCCATCAACTAAATTATTTGAGTTTTTCAGAAAGCCTGAACCAAAAAGTGATAGAAAGTGAACCCCCCCCCATCCAGATGTGGGGGTAAAAAGTTGATCCAACAGGTTTCCAAAAATTGCCCACCCCTCTCCCCAAAAAAAATATTCACCACCTTCCCCCCAAAAAATAAATTTATTTTGAAGGCATATATGCCTATACAACCTACATACAAGTCAGTAGTATCTGCACACATGGAGGGGGGGATTGCACGAAACGCTGAGAAGCCTTCTGCAGGATAGAATAAGGTGGCCACAGGCCATCTCACTAGCATAAGGCACCAAACTTGTGTCAGTATATTGCACGTCCCAAAAATTCGTTACTAACCACAATGGTTACAAAAACCTATATGTTAAGCTTACATTTTTTTTTAGCTTTTATTTTATTACACACACCTTTCAGCGAACATGAAAAATCTGACTAAACGATATCAAACTGACCGATATGAGTGTAATAATTTCGTAAAATTTAAATGTTTCTAAATTATGCAGTCTAAAACTGACTCGAAGCTATATTGCTAAGTTACTACCAGCCAAACTTATGATAGTAATAAAGTGAAATTAAATACGTCACAATTGTGAAATCTACCCCCCTAACCCCCCCCCCCCACCCCGAGGCAGTACGACACCTCGAAAATATAAATCCGAACGTTTGGTAATTTTAGTCAATGCGCATTCGTAAAATTTCAGTGAATCGGAACGTGATGAGTAGGGGTTTTTTTTCTCAAGATTAAATCGCATTCGTATACATCTTTCAAACCCATTTTATGGGTTTGTGCCAACGAGTTGGGAAATGTGCTGACGCGTTTGATGACCACCATTGGGATTTACTGGTCTCATTGAGGGCACAGCGCCATCTAACAGTAATAATGTCACAAGCCACTGCCTATTGCTGGAACAAGCGACTCTCTACTCTTTAAGGTACAAGCTACTGTCTACTACTGCGGGTACAGGCGGCTCTCTACTATTACTGGTACAAGCTACTGCCGACTATTTTTGGTACAAGCTACTCCCTACTATTTATGGCAAAAGTTACTGCCTATTGCTGGTACAAGCTCCTCCCTATTGCTGGTACAAGCTACTGCCTACTATTGGACGTACAAGTCCCTCCCTATTGCTGGTACAAGCTACTGCCGACTATTGCTGGTACAAGCTCCTCTCTATTGCTGGTACAAGCTACTGCCTACTATTGGAGGTACAAGCTGCTCCCTATTGCTGGTACAAGCCACTCCCCATTGCTGGTACAAACTACAACCCAATTACTATTGCTGGTACAAGTTACTTCCTACTGTTGCTAAAAGCTACTGCCTATTGTAGAGAGAAATACGCGGTGCGCAGAGTTAAGCGGGTGCAACGGAGGGCAAACAGTTGTGCGTGTTGCAACTTGAGGTTTGCAGACAAACCGCCAGTAATTATGGGGAGAAGCGGGTGCAACGGAGGTCAAACAGGTGCTACGCTGTGACCGGAGGTTGGCACCTAGGAGATGGGAGATGGGGGGTGATGATAAGAGATTAATGGGACAACTGGCACCGGCCTGGCAGCGGCTTAAGTAGAAGCACGTGAGGACTCGGGATGAGCAGGGGGATATAAGCAGGAGTGTGAGCGAGGGGAGTTGTTGCCGGGAACCAAGAGTGAAGACATCTCGCCGGTGCCGCTCCAGCCGTCAACGGGACCTCAACCCTCACGCCGACGCCAGGAGGGTGTCGGCTGAACCCCCTGCCCGGGACAGATGGGTGAGCGGTCTGAGGGAGCATAGGTGAGGGCAGCGGTCAGGAGATGCGAAGTTGCTGTGTGCGGAGTCGCTGTGTGCGGAGTCGCTGTGTGCGGAGAGGCAGTGTGGAGAGTCGCTGTGTGCAAAGTCGCTGAGTGCGAAGACGCTGTGTGTGGAGTCGCTGAGTGCGGAGTCGCTGTGTGCGGAGTCGCTGTGTGGAGAGTCGCTGCGTGCGGAGTCGCTGTGTGGAGAGTCGCTGAGTGCGGAGTCGCTGAGTGCGAAGACGCTGTGTGGAGAGTCGCTGAGTGCGGAGTCGCTGAGTGCAGAGTCGCTGAGTGCGAAGACGCTGTGTGGAGAGTCGCTGAGTGCGGAGTCGCTGAGTGCGAAGACGCTGTGTGGAGAGTCGCTGAGTGCAGAGTCGCTGAGTGCGAAGACGCTGTGTGGAGAGTCGCTGAGTGCGGAGTCGCTGAGTGCAGAGTCGCTGAGTGCGAAGACGCTGTGTGGAGAGTCGCTGAGTGCGGAGTCGCTGAGTGCGAAGACGCTGTGTGGAGAGTCGCTGAGTGCAGAGTCGCTGAGTGCGAAGACGCTGTGTGGAGAGTCGCTGAGTGCTGAGTTGCTGAGTGCGAAGGCGCTGTGTGCGGAGTAGCTCAGTGCAAAGACGCTGAATACGGAGTCGCTGAGTGCGAAGACGCTGTGTGTAGAGTCGCTGTGTGTAGAGTCGCTGTGTGTAGAGTCGCTGTGTGTAGAGTCGCTGTGTGCGGAGTCGCTGAGTGCGAAGACGCTGTGTGTGAAGACGCTGAGTGCGAAGACGCTGTGTGAAGACGCTGAGTGCGAAGACGCTGTGTGTAAAGACGCTGTGTGTGAAGACGCTGAGTGCGGAGTCGCTGTGTGCGAAGACGCTGTGTGTGAAGACGCTGTGTGTGAAGACGCTGAGTGCGGAGTCGCTGTGTGTGAAGACGCCGTGTGTGAAGACGCTGAGTGCGAAGACGCTGTGTGTAAAGACGCTGTGTGTAAAGACGCTGAGTGCGAAGACGCTGTGTGTAAAGACGCTGTGTGTGAAGACGCTGAGTGCGGAGTCGCTGTGTGTGAAGACGCTGTGTGTGAAGACGCTGTGTGTGAAGACGCCGTGTGTGAAGACGCTGTGTGTGAAGACGCTGTGTGTAAAGACGCTGTGTGTGAAGACGCTGTGTGTAAAGACGCTGAGTGCGAAGACGCTGTGTGTAAAGACGCTGTGTGTGAAGACGCTGAGTGCGGAGTCGCTGTGTGTGAAGACGCTGTGTGTGAAGACGCTGTGTGTGAAGACGCTGTGTGCGAAGATGCTGAGTGCGAAGACGCTGTGTGGAGAGTCGCTGAGTGCAGAGTCGCTGAGTGCGAAGACGCTGTGTGGAGAGTCGCTGAGTGCTGAGTTGCTGAGTGCGAAGACGCTGTGTGGAGAGTCGCTGAGTGCGGAGTCGCTGAGTGCAGAGTCGCTGAGTGCGAAGACGCTGTGTGGAGAGTCGCTGAGTGCGGAGTCGCTGAGTGCGAAGGCGCTGTGTGCGGAGTAGCTCAGTGCAAAGACGCTGAATACGGAGTCGCTGAGTGCGAAGACGCTGTGTGTAGAGTCGCTGTGTGTAGAGTCGCTGTGTGTAGAGTCGCTGTGTGTAGAGTCGCTGTGTGCGGAGTCGCTGTGTGCGGAGTAGCTCAGTGCAAAGACGCTGAATACGGAGTCGCTGAGTGCGGAGTCGCTGTGTGTAGAGTCGCTGTGTGTAGAGTCGCTGTGTGTAGAGTCGCTGTGTGCGGAGTCGCTGAGTGCGAAGACGCTGTGTGTGAAGACGCTGAGTGCGAAGACGCTGTGTGAAGACGCTGAGTGCGAAGACGCTGAGTGCGAAGACGCTGTGTGTGAAGACGCTGTGTGTGAAGACGCTGAGTGCGGAGTCGCTGTGTGCGAAGACGCTGTGTGTGAAGACGCTGTGTGTGAAGACGCTGAGTGCGGAGTCGCTGTGTGTGAAGACGCCGTGTGTGAAGACGCTGAGTGCGAAGACGCTGTGTGTAAAGACGCTGTGTGTGAAGACGCTGAGTGCGGAGTCGCTGTGTGTGAAGACGCTGTGTGTGAAGACGCTGTGTGTGAAGACGCTGTGTGTGTAGACGCTTTGTGTGAAGACGCTGTGTGTGAAGACACTGTGTGTGTAGACACTGTGTGTGTAGTCGCTGTGTGTGAAGACGCTGTGTGTGAAGACGCTGTGTGTGAAGACGCTGAGTGTGAAGACGCTGTGTGTGAAGACGCTGTGTGTGAAGACGCTGAGTGCAGAGTCGCTGTGTGCGAAGACGCCGAGTGCTAAGACGCTGAGTGCGGAGTCGCTGTGTGCGGAGTCGCTGTGTGCGGAGTCGCTGTGTGCGGAGTCGCTGTGTGCGAAGACGCTGCGTGCGGAGTCGCTGAGTGTGGAGTAGCTGTGTGCAGAGTTTCTGGTTGCGAAGACGCTGTGTGCGGAGTCGCCGAGTGTGAAGACGCTGTGTGCGGAGTCGCTGAGTGTGCAGAGTCACTGAGTGCGAAGATGCTGTGTGCGGAGTCACTGTGTGCGAAGACGCTGAATATGGAGTCTCTGAGTGCGAAGATGCTGTGTGCAGAGTCGCTGGTTGCGAAGACGCTGTGTGCGGAGTCGCCGAGTGTGAGGATGCTGTGTGTGGAGTCACTGAGTGTGTAGAGTCGCTGAGTGCGAAGACGCTGTGTGCGGAGTCGCTGTGTGTGGAGTCGCTGAGTATGGAGTCGCTGAGTGCGAAGACGCTGTGTGCGGAGTCGCTGAGTGCAAAGACGCTGCGCACGGAGTCGCTGAGCGCGAAGACGCTGTGTGCGGAGTCGCTGTGTGCAAAGACGCTGTGTGCGGAGTCGCTGTGTGCAAAGACGCTGTGTGCGGAGTCGCTGTGTGCGGAGTCACTAAGTGCGAAGACGCTGTGTGCGGAGTCGCTGTGTGCGAA